AAGTGAAAAAAAAAAAATTGCGAAAGTGCGTTCCCTGTTGGTCGCTGGCCGTACAAATGTTTTATGTATTGTTCGTGTTAAACGAAAAACGATCGCGCTCTATTACAAGCACATTTTAACATTTTAAAATATTGAAAAGATAAAACACTAGTTTTCTTGATCAATCTTTATTCAAACGATAAGTTAGCAAAATTACAATATAATATTGCGATTGAAGATAACGCTCATTACAAGTACTAACAAGAATTTAACACAAATATTTGCTTAACTAGAAAACCGATTCTCTATTTAGAGAATCATAACTATAGTATTCCAAAATTTTCAGAAAAGAGAATTATCGAATAAGAGTTAATTAAGAAAAATAGGATCCACGTCAGATAGGAGTAAGTCCTGTTACATATTCTTTGAAATCACGTGATACAGCAGTGTCAGATGATAATTAAAAAAAAGTTAAAGAAAACCTATTTTTATCTTTACTCTCTAAATTCTTTGGAATGGAATCTCACAAAGAGTAAAAATTGAGCCAGTCTCGAAAAAGAGTGATTCAATTTTCAATGTTCAAGAGTAAAATTTCACTCTTCAGAGTGAGATTTATTCTAAAAGTTTTAGAGAATATACGTATATGGTTGCGATATAAACAATAACAATAAAAAATCTAATATTATACTAAGGGTATGATATCAGGTATTATGCCCATTTATTAATTTGTTAAAGATCTCTTTTGAAGAAGCCTAAAAAATGTATATAATCTTAAAATTCTATAACAACAGTTGTATAACACGCAACAGCTCTCATCCAACTATAAAATTTCTTTTTGTTCTTTTTTAAGCCACGTTCACGACTGAACGGCAAAAGATATCGCTCGGTATGCGTCGCTGTTCTCTCTCTCTCTCTCTCTCTCTCTCTCTCTCTCTCTCTCTCTCTCTCCTTCTCTCGTGCTATATAAAACTTTCAAATTCGCCGTCGGTTGCACGCGTTGCGTCGATACGTGCAATTTGTGCACGGATTTTGACCGTGCGGATCGAATGATCGAATCTTTTTATGCCTATCCCGAAATCGAGGGCACAAGACGCGGGAGCGCACCGACCGATCGACAGGGCCCACGTTGTTGATGCACGATAGCGTAATATGACGGCGAGAGGGGGTGGAGGGGGTGACCGGGAGAAGATCGGGGCCCGTTGAATGCGAGATAGTCGCGTGACCGGGGCCTGTGGTCCACAACATTTGAAATCCAAATGAGCTCTCAAAAGTAGGATTCAAATCTCAAATGCGCGCAAATCGAAGATGCACCACGTCGTGTATTCTAAACGTGTATTCTCTCGATCTTTTCGCATTCCGCATATATATCTCCGTTGCGAGCGAAACTGGCGAGATTTCGGATAGGCGTAGGGGCATGGAGCGACGATTCTCGTTGCTATTGGATAAGATAGATTTTTACATTGCAAAAGGCAAGGAACTAGACATATTTCGAGCATCTCAGTGATAGAGAATTCAGCCAGGAAGTATCTTAAGAAAGTCTCTTCCATTTTTGAAGAGATGGAAACATTTAATACATATCCAAAAACATATCGAAGGATTTAAATAATTTGACGATGATAACGCGTTTGATGAATGTCTGGTTAATTGAACGATTGGGAAGAGAAGACACAAAGGGTGCATCTCTAACGGTAAAATGATTTATCTCGATTTAAACCGACATCCGTGAGATCTGTGCGCGTACGCAACCGCCGGAAGGTGAAAAGCGAAGAACACTCGGCTCATCGAAATCTCCACGATATCTGTGCCTCTCCGCTAACGCATTGATCGTAGTAATGAGTACCTTGATCGGCGACGGACTCTTTCATCATATCCGGTTAAAGTTGAGCGACGGATCGCCCCTTATATTGTAACTGCACTACTGAAGGTGCATTATGTCGTTCAATAAAATTTTATAGGCGTCTGATCACACACCAATTTCCATATCTCTCCTACTTTTTTCCCATCGTTTCTTCTCTGGAATCAATTACAATAATTTGCATCCTCGCTGAGATCGGGAACGGAATTGCTTATAGCTTCGGCGAAGGTATCTCGCTTTGATCTTTGCGATCGCGTAATATTCATTTTTGATGAGAATCCATCCGTCAGATCGCCGTCATCTACGTGTGATCGATATCATCTGCGTGTATTCTCTTTCATTAATTCTTTATTTTGCTGAGGGACAAAGTAAACTACAACACATTCCCTTTCTATTAAAGCTAAGCGCATAAGGTGTGGAAAGAAAAATATTGATAAATAAACTTTGTAATGAGAAATATTTTACTATAATGTAACATGAATAAAACAATACTTAGTAATAACATGAATAATACAATGTGTATATATGGCAAAAAGTAATAAATGGACTATATTAAGATAATATATATATATTTTAATATCGGTCAATCTCTCAAAACTGAAACTTGATCATCATGTTTAATTAGCAGGCGATTTCTAGATATATCGCAATGTTGATGATAGGAAGAGCATATAAATAAGTTGAGAATATACTTTACATGATATAATATTCAGATCTACTACAATCAATAAAAATGCGTAAAACTCCTACATGATAAATATTCAGTTGTAAAAACTTCGTCTTATCGACTTATGCAAAATAACTTTTTCTTTTTCGTATTACAATTTACAAATTAAGTTGCAAGAGATCTTAGTGCAAACAAGATTGTTTATGTAAGATAATTCAATATGCTTAGAATTATGTAAGAAATATTTGTTTCTCGGTACAAGTTCGTATTGTGAAGCAAAAATATAAATAAAACAGTACATTTGTAGATAATTAATTTAAGACTTAATTATCATAAAATATTTTTCATATTAGAGATTAAAAATTGGCGACAAATAATGATTTTCTATAAAATATTTAATTAAAAAACCTGGCTCTCTATATCTCATCAATTAAAGATTAAAAGTACATTTGCTAAATTTAAAACATCCAATACGCAACAATAAAAATAATGAAATCAATAATGTCATCCGTATTATTTAAAGAAACTTATTGTTTGCGTTAGATGATTACAGCGTTCGCCAAGCATTGAAGTCTTCCTCAGGCACGGCGTTAGTTTATAATCGCTCTTTTCAACTGATGTTATATGATATTTAAATAGTATATAAATTAAAATATCCATTATTATTCTAACAAATAATTGCATTAATTTTTTTCAATCGAGTAAAATTGATATATATTATCTGAAATCTCCTTCTTATTGCATCGGGAATGAGTAATACAGGAAAGGGTCTCTTAATAATCATCGCTATTTAATCACTTTTCGTCAAAATTAAATCACTGGGGATTTAGTTATGCGTGCACAATTTTCCAGAAATAACTAGAACTTCTGATATTTTTTTCAATAATTTATCGCAAGAATAACAATCAAACGATTCTCCTTAAATAACGATATATTACGTAGTAAATTACAGTAAACATATTACAATAATCCTAAAAAAACGTAGTTTCTCATAAACAAACATAATTCACATGTATATATATTGATTTTTCTTCATGCTTACATATTGATAATTGATACTGTAAAGTCGCAATAAAAGCTTTTCGCGTCAAACTTATCAATTATTTTACATTCACGTGACAAAAGGCGAATTCATGAGAACGATTTCCATCTTATTCGCTCAGTATAGCTAGAAGCGTTTGCCAGAAATACTTGGAGAGAAATACTCGCCATGATGAAATATTTCTTACTATTGGTGCAGTGGATGGACATCTCATTCTTTACCGATATTTGGTTTAAATAAACATCATTCTTAAACTATTATTTTTCGTTCATGAATACCATCATTCAATCTCGTTATTCGCTCCGATTGTGACGATCGCGGAAATGATCATTGCAGATGATACTTCCGTATGTTGCATCGGAGATGTGCATCAGACTTCTACGAAGCAGAACGGAAATCAGGATAATACGGGAAAGACCAAGACATATTTCGCTTTGGAACGCGATCACGGGGAAATTCGAGCAGCTCGAGGCACTAAAATCGAACAATACCACTTTTTATAGTGTTAACGCAGTAAACGAATTGCGCGGAAAGCGTCTTATCGTCGCTAACGGATTTTGTGCGTACTGGTTTCTTTTGACGCAATTTTCTCACAAGGTCAGATGATTGCTTGATGGTTAAACCAAATAGCCAATGATAATAACGTTATCCGACCATAAGATATCCTTTCAGATGCATCCATACATCATAAACGTAAAGAAAAACGAGGTCACAGGATTTATAGAAGATGTTTGGATCTTCGAAAAGACTTTGAAATTCAAGTTAGTATTTTTTATGATTAAAATACGACAAAAGAAAGTGTCGTAGTCTTAAGTATTTAAAATTTCCACCAAAAGTTGGAATGGTATATTTTTATTCCACGTTTTTCGTACATACGTTTAACAGTAGGTAGAAATACCAATTTTCCCGCTTCGGTGTGTAAAATGATTTATGACCGATGTAAGTAACCTTGGCAGCGGATTTGCCAAGTATTTCGGCGAAGTTCCTGTATAAATATAGATTCCTGATAGTCATTGAGAGTCAGATACCTACGTCGATGCAGCGCAAAATTATCTCTAAATGCCAGCGAACTACTTCCTCCCTCTCGTCAGCCTGCACAGCCAAAGCGACCGTAATACCAGCCTGACGGCGATTTTACACGAACAATTTTCATGGCGACGCTTCTTCAAAGGGGTATGTGTGACGAAGCCGTACGTAGAACTTGCCCAATTTTCCGCGTACCACCCACACCCACGCCGCCGGTGTGGGTCAAAATACTCGCATGATTCATTCGTCTAGACAGGTATAAGTATAGTATCAGGATGGGTAGATGGGCAGCGGGTAGGGAGAGGGACAAGGGATACGTTGCTGCGGCGGCGGCGGCGGCGGTGGCGGCGGCGGTGGCGAGGGGGACTGGGGGTGTGTTGGACGTTGCGAGTTTTGTGCGGCACCGTAATAAAGGCGTCTCTTCGACGAAAATGCAGGACGATTTACCGAAGAGCGAGACGGTCGATCATCACGACGTTGATGAATGGAGATACTCACGCACTGCTGATCGCCACGAGCTATTACGTACCATTCATTATCAACTCGTAAGTCGAATTCGTTATTTTAACACCCTCTCTTCCTTCCGCCCCTCTTTTTTTTAACACAATGACTTCTCCGGGAACGCGTGAGGTGATAGGCGCCTTCTTATCGCAGTCTTTTGCCTCCCTCCCTCAAGAGGGCGCTCCTGATGAAAGCTTTTTCCTTCAGCTGGTGGTTTTAACGCCGGTCATTAACCCGTTCCGGTTAGGCACCGGTCTTTCGGGATATATACACTCCCGCGATCATATCTCGGCTAATAACTTTCTGATTTCGCTTTCGCAATTTCTCCTCGGTGCCAGCTGTTCCATGGGGGTGAAAAAAAAGCGGAAGGGGCGCGCGAAGATAAGTCTTCCGATCGATCGTTATCGGGAGAAAACTTCTTTATCACGCACGCGGCAAGTATATATACGATGGGTACATACAATTGCGACCGAGATATTATCGCGAAGTAAAAGGCAACGTGGTCTCGTTCCATTTAAATAAGAAGTTCCATTCACATTTATCCTCGGTAAATTTTCAAGAACTATTTAGTAAACATCACGTAAAGGTAATATGACATTAATGTTAAAATTTTCACACTCAACAATATTACACTGTCGTGTAATACAATACATGTGTCATATTATATTTTTATTGTTGAGTGTAAAATAGTAACATTGATGTTATGTTATTTTTAATTAGTGTTTGTTACACTTTTTAAATTTTTAGTCGAATGTAATAATGATAGATTAAGTTGTTTTTATTATTACAAGTGAATTATTATTGCAAGTTACATTTTCCATCTTTAGACACACTGTGTTTGTTCAATCGGAAAGTGTAATTGACGCAAAGTGGTGTTACATTAACTCTTATCGTACCAATATAGGTAACTAGTGACCGAGTGATTCCTGTTCGTGCAAGTTTCTTGGAGTCTTTCGGTAATTATAAATTATACTACATTTTATTATTTTCCAAAATAAAGAGTCAATATTTATTCTAGAAAGTTGAAAGTATGTTGGTGAATTTTTAGAGATTTTTTGAATTATTTTGAAGAGGTGAAAAAAATGAAGAGATTCTAGTGACCCTTGATGGTATGGATGAGGCACCAAATTGCACATGGTACGGTAAGGGTTAATATCTTCAGTCGCAGCTTATGGCTGGCATAGTTTTATATGCATTATATGTACCGCATGCAGCATCGTGGGAATATATCGTTTAAAGAAACTCGTGTGTGCTGACTACGAAGAATCCGATGACGAACTTTCCTCGCTGTCTTTCAATCTTCTTTACGTTTTGGGATTTCAAGGTAATACGATCTATTTTAATAAAGTGTAAAATAAATGGATAAGATAAGAAATGACAAGATAATGTTAAAAGTAATATTTTTAAAAACATATATAACGTAAAAGAAACAAAATAAATTTTTTGGCGAAATTGATTTTATACTACGCTTAGAGTTTTATTTTTTTTTACACAAATTTTATTTTGTATTTAAAGAGAGAATTCTCAGTGTGAAAGAAAGTTTGAAGGATTGATTAAGTATTTAGGGTTTCAGAAAATACCGAGAAGCTTGTCTCTCCGATTAATAATTTTGTCTTCTTTGGTGACGGGAATGTTGATGACATACGTATTCAGCAGCACTCCAATTTCTTGCCTGGCAAATAAAGGACACTCCATTTCTTTAACTAATTTGGAAGACATGGTGAAGAAAGGGACACACTCGCTTTGTATTAGGAATGACAGCACCGCATATGTCTACTTTACGATGATAAAAATAGAAACAAAGAAAATATATAAATACAACACAAACTGCTGCATTCGCATTTTCGGTTAGAAAATATGTTCTCTTAAAATGAAGGAAAATACGCTTTCTCATAATGAAACCAGAACAAAAGTAATAATATTTTTCGAATAATGTCACGAATCTATTTTAATATATTCAACACAAAAAAGGATGCTCAGAATGATAATCTTGAAACAAACTCTAGAGAATCTAAAAAGATTAAAAGAATCAGCACATGAAAGAAGTTAAAGATAGTTGGAGAACGCTGCAGTATATGAACTGCTTTTCTTTTTTATTCCTTTCTTTCGAATTGCTTGCTTTAGTTATTACCAGGGAATGGAAGTAACTCGTTACTTGTAACGAAGTCACAGCTACAGGTTACTTTTTTGGTAACTTTACTGGTAACTGCATTACTTTTTTTCTTTGGTAACTGTAACGGTAACGAAGTTACATTTTTTTTTATAACGGTAACGAATTTTACAGTTACTTTTATCGTTACTTTGCACATGATTGGACACGATACGACACAAGCCACTTACACTGTAAAAAAATTTCTTTACACATATAATAAATGTAAAATAGATTACATGATTAGTCCTGTATATATAAAAAATCATGCAATTTTACAGAAATTATGTAAGTCCGCAAAAATTATATAAATTTTATTGTGTAAATATATCTTATTTTATATTAAAAATTATGTAAATAGCAAGATATTTTGAATATTTTCTGTAATTATCCAAATTTTAGTAATATTACGTAATATAACAGAAATTTTTCGCGTATTGCTGTATAATAGTATATAGTGCGAAATGTATTGTCATATTATCGTTCCTGTAACTACACATACACATTGTAATTGTACTTCCACAATCTGCTTAGTTATCAACTAAGAAATTATTTTTATTTGCGTATTGCAAATTTACAAACGTGTGGATTTTCAACTATTATAGTGAATCTCAAAATTATCCACTATAATAGTTATAATTTTATACAACAATTTTTACAGCGCTTGAGACTAGAGAAGCCCCTAGGCCAGTCTGCTGTAATTGGCGGTCGTAGATTTAAAAAAAAATAACGGAAAGTAACGAAAATTTACTTTCTCAAGTAATGGTAACTTGTTACTTTTTCTATTCGGTAATGAGTAACTGTAACTTGTTACTTTTAAAAAGTAACTTTCCATTCTTTGGTTATTACAACGCGACAGCTTCGTCAACTGCAATATCACGCGTGGTTTAATATTCAATTAGTGCAATAAAAGAGATATCATATGAGGGAATTCATTAAAACAAGAATTAATTAAAATAGTATTCAACAGAATGGTTTACCGGATAGCAACCTTCAGGCGATTGGAAAGGATTGTTAAATTATTGTTAATATATTACCCTGATATAAGAGACAGTGTGAATCTCGCTTCGAAATTATGCCGTCCAGGTATATCGCCTACTTAGAGACATCGGCCGTATTTTTAACGATTTATCACAGAATTCAACATGAGTGTAACATCGTACAACTGCCTAACGATTATTGGAGTGTCAGACTGGCGTTTCGACACGCCAGGGCGGCACAACACCGCAAACTCATTGACAGTTAATAAATATCATTTTCTATTGACTTCAATCGCAATACGCGTGCTTGATTACAATTCAATTTATACATAAAACTAAAAACTTTATTTGCATGTAAAAATAGAGATAATATTTTGGGGAAAAAATTGTCAATTTATTCAGTTAAATTAAGAAATTATCGATTTATATTAAAATTATTTAATCAATACTTACCATTTATTATTTATATAATGGCTTGTATCATAATAATTAGATAATAATAATCAGAACAAAAGAATGTAAAATATGTGTTCCAATTTATTAATTATTCTCTGTCTCATTTCTTGTCTAATAGAAAAATATTTGCAACCTTTGTACAGCTTAATGCGTATACGTTTGGCTGAAATATTAAATTATTTTGAGAAAAAGTGGATCTCACAATAAACTTATAGCCATTCCAATTATCTTCAATCGAACAATTTTCAACCGCGGTCGAATACATGCACGTTCGTTTAATTACCGTATTCTTCTTCATCATGATGATTATCAATATATTGATCTGTGTTTTGGAAAACATCTGGTACAAACTACAACACGCGTGGAAATTCAAGAAAAAGAATTGTAATTCGATATTACTGGGCACACATACCCAACAATTTGAATGTAATAAAGACCCATAATAAAATGAAATCGTCACTCAATTGGCGTCGAAATTTCAACTCGCTATTGTTATCTGAAAGTACGAAAAATCCAAAATTTCTTGAGAATGTCACAGTACGAATTAATCAATGGTAAATATAACATCTGCGGCTATAAATATGTAAAATATCCAAGAACGTCGAAATGTTATCTCCACGATAAGTGAAATGAATTACGAGATGAACAAGTCTCATCTTTAATGTTTTAAAAATGATATACACGCGGGTAAACAAAATGTTATATTTCGTAATAAATTCAATTTGGAAGAAAATCTATATTAAAAAAATATTTAGAGTTTTAATTAAGAGAATGTTATAACACAAACAAATATCATTTTGAAACTTTACCTCACGTTGATTTATATAAAAAAAGTAATGAAAAGAATGTAATTAAAGTATAATACCAACAGTGAGCGTAAAGATTTGCTCCATTTCTTTAATTTTGATTTAATAATAATAATAATAATATGTATATAAGCATAATACATAATATACAATACAGAAAAATAATCATGGCGAACATCGTCATCGACCGATATACTTTTTCTTCGTTATGTAAAACCACACGCAAATTGTATCTTCGAATACAACGCACAACAATATCTTGTAATCAGCAGAAACGATGCTCCTCTTATTGTTACAAGATATTATTCACAATTATAAACAACATTTACAAATGCATTATGCATCGGCGTCATATATTCAAGGCCTATATGGATCTTACATTATAAAGAAACTTTGGCTTCTTTTTACGTGGTATTTCGCCACCTATAACCCTATGAAAAAGAGGATACGGGAGCGAGAGAATTCCAGCAGAAGAATTCCAGGAATCGTAAATTCGAATGCACCGCAGGATTTCTCAGAGTTTCTCCGCTTCCGTATTATCGTCAATTTCTCAAATCTGACGAATTTAATGCTAATATCCTAAATTTTATCCTATATATGTATATCCAACAGACTTCTATCTTGCGAGATACCGTACTCCTTCGAGCATACAAATGTATTGATGCGTTTGATTATTTCCTCTGTTTTAAGTAAAAAGTCCGACAAACTAAATCCCTCCTTATTGCACATTAAAAAGAAATAAAAAGAAAAAATGTATTTATGACATTCGTGATTTCAGTACATAATGATTGTACGAGGTTGTGTATGGGGTTCGTGGGCTCTTCTAGAATTAACGTTACAACATTTCGTTAATGCATAACGCATTTCCTAAATGTCTAATGGCACAACTTAAAACGAAGTTAAGCGTAATCATGTTTAATTATTGTTGTTGATAGCTTCTTTTTGCACTGTCGCGGCTTATACAAATGTCGCGGTAATTGGGATCGTAAGATCTTAAATAAATTGATTATGTGCATGGATAATAAGTGTATCTTATTCAACATACAATGAAAGATTTAGCTACCTATTATATAATACTCTAGTTTTCATATGAAACAACGCTGCAATGGATTCCACTTTAATAAAAAAAACATCAGATTTTGATTGGCATCTCTTTTAAAATATGCAAAACTCACTCGCGAGCTGCAATATTCGTTATGTTCACAGCAGAATTGGAAATTTTTATAATGACTGAACAAATGTGATGAAAATAAAAGCGAAAATGGTTCATATTAAAATACAAATATAAGGTTAAAAAGACTAAAGTAAACGGGTGAAAATAGATGTCAAATTAATAAAATGTGTGTATATTTAATAACGATTCGGCTTAACAAAGCCTTCTTCACCACTACAAAAATTTGCATTTTTCACCTTTTGCTTTTTAACCTTACATTTGTAATAAGAATAAAAAATTTACAACGAAACTTTAACATTTTAAATCGACTCCATCGCAACTGGTTATTATGCTGAGACTTTCATTTTCTATTAATTATAACGACAAAATTAATGCTAACAAGCGAAGGTCTACTCCATTCCTGTGATAGATGCATAAACTTCTTGATCTAGAAATCACATTATTTACAAATATGCCGTTTAATCTTCATCAATAAAACGTAAAAAACTCCTACATATAATTACACAATATTTTAATATTATGATACAGTACAATTCGACACGAACAGAAAGTATAGAATATTTTAACGATCCTGTATAAGATTAAATAACGTCTTGTAAACACATTATTTACGCAAGTATTGCCGATAATATCACATATTATAAAAAATATACTCGAACTTAATTGAAAATTATTAATTTAATTTATACGAAATAAAATATTCAATCTACGTTTTCAGAAATCACATGTGAGATCTCTTTTTACAGCTTCTTCGATGCCGAAGGAAGTTCTAAAGATGATTACTGATTTTGTAGATTAAGTATTCATAGCTTCGCGAAATAAAATTATTTCAATATTCCTTCTTTTTTTTAGCTGAATCATTTTTTTCTGAAGACGTTTTTCTGTCAGACGGAAAAGTCGAGCCTCCGATTCGCTCGAATGCCAAATATATGCTAGATGACACGGAAGAAAAATACATATTTAGTCGAGAGAGTAACCACTCAAAAAATAGGTGTATACCTGGACTTCGGGCTTCAAGACTTCATCGGACTTCACCGGAATTCATCAGACTTCACCGGAATTCATCGGACTTCACTGGACTTCATCGGACTTCACCGAAATTCATCGGACTTCATCGGAATTCATGAATTCATCGGACTTCGCTGGACTTCGTCGGACTTTACCGGAATTCTTCTGACTTCATCGGAATTCATCGGACTTCACCGGAATTCATCCGACTTCATCGAAATTCACCAGACTTCACCGGACCTTATCGGACTTCATCGGACTTTGTCAGACTTCACCGGA